GGGTTTACCTACTCTGGGGCTCGTTTGAATTTGAAAATGGGCCCGTTTGCACCTCAGGACCAACAAGCTCCATTTCTAAGGTCATAACGGACGACCATGAAAAATTTTGGCCAAAAACAAGCCTAAATTCTAGATTACCAAAAATCCATGGACCATAGTACAAAAAAATTGGCAAAATGGGGGTTTTACCTGCTCTAGGGTTCGTTTGAATTTGATAATGGTCCTGTTTGCCCCTCGAAACAAACTGGCTCTATTGCTAAGCTCTTAATAGACGTTCATGAAAAAAATTTCAGCCAAAAACACACTGGAATTGCGGATCACCAAAAATCCATGGACTATAGCACACGAAAATCAATAAAATGGGGATTTTCCTGCTCTGGGCTCGTTCTAACTTGAAAATGAGTATGTTTGCCCCGCAGGACCAACTGACTCCATTACTATGGTCTTAACGGATGTCCATGAAAAATTTCGGTAAAAAACACAATGGAATTTTGCATCACAAAAAATCCATGGACTATAACACATGAAAATCGGCAAAAATTGGGGGTTTACTTGCTCTGGGGCTCGTTTGAACTTGAAAATGGGCTCATTTTCCCCTCGGGACCAACATGCTCCATTACTAAGGTATTAACGGGAGTCTGAAAATTTTTGGCTAAAAATACGCCGAAATCTCGAGTCACCAAAAATCCATGGACTATTGCACACGAAAATCGACAAAATGGGGGTTTACATGCTCTGGGGTCGTTTGAACTTGAAAATAGGCCTGTTTGCCCCTTGGGACCAACTGACTCCATTACTAAAGTCTTAACTGACGTCCATGAAAAACTTCGGCCAAAAACACGCCGAAATTCTGGATAACCAAATATCCATGGACTATAGCACACGAAAATCGGCAAAATGTGGGTTAACTTGCTCTGGGCTCGTTTGAACTTGAAAATGGTCTCGTTTACCCATCGGGACCAACATGCTCCATTACTAAGGTCTTAACGGACATCAATAAAGAATTTTGGCCTAAAATCGATGGACTATAGTACACGAAAATTAGCAAAATGGGGGTTTACCTGCTCTAGGGCTTGTTTGAACTTGAAAATGGGCCCGTTTGCCCCTCGGGACCTACTAGCTCCATTATTAAGGTCTTAACGGGCGTCCATGAATAATTTCGGCTAAAATCACGTCGAAATTCTAGATCACCAAAAAATCATGGATTATAAGCACACAAAAATTGGCATAATGGGGGTCTACCTACTCTAGGGCTCATTTGAACTTGAAAATAGGCCCGCTTTTCCCTCGGGACCTACTGAATCTATTACTAAGGTTTTAACGAACATCAATGAAAAGTTTCGGCAAAAAACACGCCGAAATTGCGGATAACCAAAAATCCAAGGTTTATAGAACACAAAAATCGGCAAATGCGAGTTTACTTGCTCTAGGCTCGTTCTAACTTGAAAATGGGCTTGTTTGCCCCTCGGGACCAATTGAATCCATTACTAAGGTCTTAATGGATGTCCATAACAAAAAATTCATCCAAAAACAAGCTAGAATTTCGGATCACCAAAAATCAATGGACTATAGCACACGAAAATCAACAAAATAGGGGTTTACCTACTCTAGGGTTCGTTTGAACTTGAAAAAGGGCCCGTTTACCCCTCGAGACCAACTGGCTTTATTACTTAGGTCTTAACGGACGTCCATGCAAAAATTTGGCCAAAACACATCAGAATTCTGAATCACCAAAAATTCATGAACTAGAGCACACGAAAATCGACAAAATGGGGGTGTACCTGCTTTGGGGATCGTTTGTACTTGAAAATGGTCTCGTTTTCCCCTCGTGACCAACTGACTTCATTACTAAGGTCTTACCTAACGTCCATGAAAAATATCGACCAAAAACACGCTGGAATTTCGGATCACCAAAAATCCATGGACTATAGCATATGAAAATCGGTAAAATGGGGGTTTACCTGCTCTAGGGATCATTTGAACTTGAAAATAGGTCTGTTTGCCTCTCGGAACCAACTGACACCATTACTAAGGTCTTAACGGACAACCACAAAAAAATTTGGCAAAACGTAAGCCATAAATTTTGAGCACCAAAAATCCATGGGCTATAGCACACGAAAATTAGCAAAATGGGGGTTTACCTGCTCTGGGCTCATTTGAACTTAAAAATGGGCCCGTTTAACTCTTGAGACCAACATGCTCCCTTAATAAGGTCTTAACGGACGTCCATGAAAAGTTTTGGCCAAAAACATGCTGAAATTCTAGATCACTAAAAATCCATAGACTATAGCACACGAAAATCAGCAAAATGAGGGTTTACCTTCTCTAGGGCTCGTTTGAACTTGAAAATGGGCATGTTTGCCCCTTGGGATCAATTGGTTCATTTACTAAGGTTTTAATGGATGTCTATGAAAAGTTTCAGCCAAAAGCACGCTGGAATTCTCGATCACCAAATATCCATGGACTACAACACATGAAAATCGGCAAAATGGGGGTTTACCTACTCTGGGGCTCGTTTGAACTTGAAAATGTGCATGTTTGCCCCTTTGGACCAACTGACTCTATTACTAAGGTCTTAACAGACGTCTATGAAAAATTTCGGTAAAAAACAAGCCGAAATTATGGATCATAAAAAATATATGGACTATAGCATATGAAAATTGGCAAAATAGGAGTTTACCTGCTTTAAGGCTCGTTTGAACTTGAAAATGCGCTTGTTTACCCCTCGGGACCAACTGACACTATTACTAAGGTCTTAACGGATGTCCAAGAAAAATTTTGACCAAAAACACGCCAAAATTTGGGATCACCAAAAATGCATGGACTATAGCACACGGAAATCGGCAAAATAGGGGTTTACTTGCTCTGGGGCTCGTTTGAACTTTAAAATGGACCCGTTAGCCCCTCGGGACCAACTGGCTCCATTACTAAGGTTTTAACGGACATCCATGAAAAATTTCGTCCAAAAACACGTCGAAATTTGAATCACCAAAAATTCATGGATTATAGCACACAAAAATTAGCAAAACGGGGTTTACCTGCTCTTGGGCTCGTTTGAACTTAAAAATGGGCCCGTTTACCCTTCGCGACTAACTGACTCCATTTCTAAGGTCTTAACAGACGTCCATGAAAATTTTTGGCCAAAAACACACCGAAAATCTGGATTACCAAAAATCCATGGACTATAGCACACGAAAATTGATAAATGGGGGTTTACCTGCTTTAGGGCTTGTTTGAACTTGAAAATGGTCATGTTTGCCCCTTGGGATGAACTGGCTCAATTACTAAGTTCATAACGGACGTCCATAAAAATTTTTGGCCAAAAACACGTCGAAATTCTGGATCACCAAAAATCCACACGAAAATCGGGAAAATGGGACTATACATGGTCACTAATTGGTGTAACCGTTCATTCCTGTAATGGATTTTTGGTGATTCGAGATTACAACTTCTTTTTTGTTGAAATTTTTCATGGATGTCCATTACGACTTTATAAATGGCCTGAGTTGGTCCCGAGGGGCAAACAAGCGCATTTTCAAGTTCAAATAAACCCCAAAGTAGGAAAAACCCAATTTTACTGATTTTTGTGTGCTATAGTCCATAGATTTTTGGTGATTCAAGATTCGACTTGTTTTTGGCTAAAAAATTTCATGGACTTACTTTACGACCTTGTTAATAGCGTGAGTTGGTCTTGAGGGGCAAAGGGTCGCATTTTCAAATTCAAACCAACCCCAAAGCCGGAAAACCATATTTTACCAATTTTCGTGTGCAGTCCATGAATTTTTTGTGATTCAGGATTTTGACTTATTTTTTGCCAATTTTTTTCATGAACGTCCGTTATGACCTTTTTAATGACGTGAGTTGGTCCCGAGGGGCAAACAGACATATTTTCAAGTTCAAACGAGCTCAAAAGCAGGAAAAACCAGATTTTTTCAATCTTTGTGTACTATAGTCCATGAATATTTTGGTGATTCGGGATTCTAGCTTGTTTTTGGCCGAATTTTTTCATTGACCTCTGTTACAACCTTATTAATGGAATGAGTTGGTCACGAGGGGCAAACATGTGCATTTTCACGTTCAATATTTTTGTGAGAAGTACGTATGGTCTCACCTTTTTCAGAGGCAATTTAGGCTTTTAGGGACCAAATTACAGGAATTAGGCAATTTTTATTAGTTTTTTGTATATGTTATCCCATGAATATTTTGGTGATACGACTTTAGTCGATTGCGTTGCAAAACATTTATATTGCCCTTCTTAGGGAGTTGGGAAATTGATACATGAAGCCTCATTATTTTTACAACATTTTTGGACATTTAGAAACCATTTTACAAGAATTAGACAGTTTTCTCAAATTTTCAAACAGTGAGTGTGCTTATACACATCAAGAGCTCCAATAATCAAGATTTTGCATTTCGAGACCTAAAACGTAAAGAAAGTAAAAGTTGCACCATTCTTGACAAAACCCAAGTTGTTTGGAAAGGACCCTCCAAATTCCAAGGTATACAGACAACGACAACATTTTTTGACAAATTCATGTGTTTACCCATAAAAAAATCGATAATCATGATTTCACATTCTAAAGACATTGAAACTCGAGAAAAGTAGAAGCAACCTCAATCATGGCCGAGCCAAGATCATTTGAAATGGACTCTCCAAATTCCAAGGCAAACAGCCCAGTGAGAATTTTTCAAAAAATTCATGTACTATATACCCTTAAAGCTCCGATAATCATGAATTTGCGTTTCAAGACTTCAAAACGCCCAAAAAAATAATGTTACGTCAGTCATGATAAAGCCCACATTTGGGATGGATCCTCGAATTTCAGGGCAAATGGAATTTATGGTCCATGTGTGAATGTCCTATTCCTGAAGGCAAAAATTTGTCAAAGATGCAAATGGTCTAAAAGAGTTATATGAATGTAAGACAACATTGTACATTTCTACGACAGAGACAAAGCCATTTCAACAACACACTTGATACATCCTCAAGGAGAAGATACAACATATACTACATAAATAGTCATGTACCCAAAAAGGTGAACGAATGCAGTTGATATTCACTTCCACTGTCCCATTCACAAGGATCACAAAAAGAAAGACAACTCAGGTGAAGGGGTAAAGGAAAACATCCTTTCACCAAAACATTCAAACAGAGATGGCAACAACCGCACAGCATCCAGATCTTCCTTCCAGGCCTGATCAAGAGGAACCGATGTTTTTTGACCTTGACCAGCAGTCATATCCCTTCTACCAATGGTTCTCAGCATATTCTCGTTGTGCTGCAAACCATGTGATGCTGAAGATACACCAGTTTCTGTAACCCTAGGGGTTACAGCATATCCAACAGCTGGTCCTTGTGTGCTTACTGGCAGAGAATTTGCCGTCATTGAACTTATTGGGCCATCTGTCATTAATCTCTTGGGTGGAGGCTGGGTCATCATGTTGTCCAAGCTTGCTTTGCGTTTGCCTAGACATTTTCTTTTTGTAAGTGTTTGTCGAGACAAAATCAAGAGGCAATGATAGAAGTGATACATTCAAAGATGAAATGATAAATATTGCAGAAGACATGTAAGTTGAAGCTGTGAGAAAAATTGGAGAAGAATATTATTGAATTGTGTATCTACATTATTACATGGAGACCCTATTATAGACACTAAAATACAATCCTTCTATTACTATTACTATTCTTATTCCTATTTCTATTTAAGTAAGATTGTATATAGCATTACTATTCTAACACTCCCCCTTAAGCTGGTGCATACAAGTCATATGCACCTAGCTTTTTACAAATGTAATTAATATGAGGACAAATGAAGTGCTTGGTGAAATATCCGCAAGTTGAACACTAGACTTCACAAAATTAATAGTCAATCTCAATGTGCTTAGTCTTCTCATGCAATATTGGATTTGATGCAAAATGGCAATAAAACACAAAGTGATTAATTCCTAAATTACAGTGTTGAACTTCCTAAACCAAGTTTCAAAAGATTGTTTCGGACCATAGAGTGACTTACACAATCAACATACAAGGCTACTAAACTCCCCTGAGCAACAAAATTAGGTGGGTCCTCCATATAGACTTCTTTACCGTGCACAGTCGCCAAAAAGTGCTCAAAATCTAGTATAAATATATGGATCTGGAATCAATAGATTATTCGATATTAAACAAGAAAAAGTAACTGAAAAATGGACCAAAACATGTTCATGCGACGGAGTATTAGATTTGATGACTGAAAGTGGTCACAATCTAAGAAATAAAAGTACATGGGTAAGGTCGGAATGATGACACGATCCTACTGAGAAAGACAATTATATGGGTAGGATCGGAATAATGGCACGACCTACTGAGAAAGAGAATTATATGTGTAGGGTCAGAATGATGGCACGAACCTACTGAAAAATAAAAATTGTTAGAGTCAGATTGACAACATAACCCTACTGAAAAAGAGAAATTATATGGGTAGGATCGGAATGATGGCACGACCTACCCAAATAACAAAGTAGTCACCGGAAAAATGATGCTACGCAAATTAGATATAAGAAGGTAGTCACCAAAAAGATGGCATGGTGCTACACAAATTGGATATGAAAAAGTAGTCACCGAAATAATGGCACGATGCTACACAAATTGGATATGAGAAAGTAGACACCGAAATGATGGCACAGTGCTACACAAATTATATATGACAAAATAGTCATATGAAAGATATACGGTGACCCAACTTTTGCTAACATAATCATTGGCCAGACAGGCGGTATATATGGGTAATAGCCACCCGCCGGCAGTGAAAGCTCATTGATTTTCTACCAAGATCGTAGAGGCTCTGATATCATGTGAAAAATATTGGAAAAGAATATTATTGAATTGTGCATCTACATTATTAGATATAGAGACCCTATTATAGACACTACAATACAATCATTGACCAAGTAGGAAACTATATACTATTCCTATTCCTATTCCTATTTCAAGTCGAATTGTATATACCTATTCATATTCTAACCGAAGCATTTGGACAAAGAAGACGGACAAAGAAGACATCCACGGAAAAGGATTCTCGACTTTTAACTTAAATGACAGACCACACAAAACTAGCTGGACAAACATATATAACAAGACTCGTGAATTCTAATAGATCATATAAAGAGCAACTGGCCTCCAACATTTAGCATTAAATTGCTCCACATTATTCTGCAAGGAGAAGCCGCAATATATAATCCACAAAGAAAAATGAGAATAATTTAGGAAATCTGTCATACAGATCATATCTATCTAGAACCATTTCAATATTGACTGACACTCCAAGAGGCAGAACATATTTAATAAACAACATACAGAAAAGTTCACAAGGAAAAAGAATTACAAGTTCTAGTTATAGATTCCTCTATGGGAAAGAATAGAATAAGTAAAGCAAAGACCAGGACATACTCGACAATGTAGTTGAGACTTTCCATTTACTCTTCAGGAATGTGCGAGTGGATGGAGATAGTGAAGCTGGAAGCAACTTGAAGCGCTCGTAGATGCATAAACCAGCAGCACACTGCAAAACCCATTACATAATTTAGGAGACTAATTGCAGTAATGCCAAAATATCTAACAATAAAAGTTAGAGAAGTCACATTTCACTGTGTTCAATATCACATTGAAATGATTGGACAAAATAATGAAGAAAGACACATTAAACATTCAAGACAACTGACCATCAAGGCTCCATATACACGCCAAGCTTCAAACCTCTTCATTTCATTTTTTTGCTTCTCGGGCTGCATTTCGGGTTCCAGTAATTGCAAATAAGCCTCAAGATTTGGCAGCACAAGTAGGCGAACCTATACATACAAAATTAGAATATATCACCAATTGTTGCTTACAGTTCAAAATTTAGTAGCAGCAAATAAGATGGAAAGGAAGAACAGGGAGAACAAGGAAATACCACACCAGGTCCAAGAGCTGCAAGTCCTTGAATTGCTCCATAATGTTGTGGCAGCGCCTTAGTTGGATCCAGAAAAGCATGCAGCAAAGTACTGGTGACACGTGACTGGAGATTGTGGTACACACGACCATATCTGCACAGGTTTTACTTGTGAACAAGACAGCACCAGTTGATAAAGATGGAATTATTACCAATATCATGGAACTGAAAAATAAGTTCAATAGTCTATAAAGCACAAAACAGAAAAACATGTGTTGGAATTGCCAACAACTATACAGAACATGCACTAGCAAACAACCACCTTCTCATGGGGGCAGCAACAAGGAAAAGGGAGAAAAGCCCAACATGTAACAGGATAAATTCAGTTGGAGTTAATAGCTTGATCAACATAGAAGCAACAGCATATGAAGCAGATGCATTCTTTCTGTAGCTTCCAAATGTGAGAACTGAGTGATCCTTACCTCTTGCATATTAAAGCAACCAACGTTGCTGAGAAGTCCCTAAGTTCCCAATGATTGTCAGATAATCTGTTTCCCAACCTTCTTGCAACAAGGCATGTCATTATAGAAGGCATCAACTGGTGCAGCTGGAGATAAACTCGGCAAAATAACTAAATTATTCGAAAAAAGAATAAAAAGTCGCATGGAGGAGAAAATTATCAGATAAACCATGGGAAAATTAGACAACACCATGAATCGAAACTGCATGGTTGAAGCCAAAGCCTAGTTATCCATTATGTATATAACACTGCTTTAATGAACAAAATAAACTAACACAGCTATTCAAATTAAATGAATTACTAATGCAATTAAACCCTCTCTTTTCTCAACAGATATGTACTCCCCCCTTTTCCACTGTCATTTTTAAGTGATTTCAAAAACAATAAAGTTTAACCAGTTCAATCATCAACAGAAAATTTTATACATTATCCTAAACCTACTTTCTAGAGTAAGAAGTATGTTACACCAAGACATCAGCAATAGACTCACATATGGTTCAATATGTATTTGTGTATTCTGGAGAAGGCTCCAGAGTAGCCGCATCAAAGCGAAAAGGAGAGGAAAATTGTTCAAATTCCGAGAAACCTGACATGTAACAGACTATCATTAGATCATTTGTCCATCACCCACAAATGTTGCATGAACTGCATTTAAATCGGCTACAATTACCTCATCAGAAATGAAATATGTAAAGTAAGGAACTACTGGATGAATCCCTGAGTCTGTTGCTAAGCTTCGTAGAGCTTCTTTAAAGAGAAGGGGATTAGATCTATCTACAGTAAGCTCTTTAATTTTTTCATAATAGAGCTGCAAAAAAAAAGAGCAATGATGCATAAGGATAAACATGGGCAAAAAGGATACAAACATTTTGGTACAATTATACCTGAAGCTCACGCGATAGGACATGCTTAACAGGTACTTTAATATCAACAGGAACTCCATCCTCCTTATACTCGGTATTTCTAGTATCAGACGGCATCGCTAAGGCTGTGATAAATTAATCTGTTAGTCTGGAATATTGAAAATAAATACAAATTTTAACTAGTACTAATACTACAAGAATACGCCTCATTTCGTAGCAGTTGTGGGGAAAAGAAAATTATTCAAGGGAGGAGGCAAACTAAGAGAATGGGAATCAGTAGGAAAGAACACTACGCATGACCAAAAAAATCAGATGGCTAGGGTAAAATCAAATACTAAAACATGCGGACAAGCTAATTGCAGTTAAGGTTGTAACAAGATATGGACCTTCAGGCAGAGGGTTTTCAGGAATAGCAGGTTGTACTCCTTCTATAGCTAACCAATGGGCAACAACAGCAGCATCTAGCGGTGCTTTCGGCAAAGGAGCTTCGATCACCTAAACCACAAAACGCAACAACTTACCATGAACATCACTTCAATAAATTCACAAACTAAATCTGATAAAACCTCATATATCAAAGTTTCTTTACATCTTTGAATTCTACATCCTTCTCTTCAATGTAGAACAAATCTTTATGTCCAGCCGCTCTCCTGAACCTTAACGGATCCCCTGAAGCAAAGCCATATATTGGCTGCCCAACACAACACAGACATAAAAGAACAATCAATTACACCACAATTTCAAACTTAGATAAATCAGCTATAGCCTATGTTGTTTGGACTCTCCAAAAATATTGCTGCCCCCAAGTTGACTCCTCCAAAAATGCACTATCTTTGGAGGATCCAACACACAATCATCAACACTTTCAAAGATTCCGAGCAACATAGACTAGTATAAAACAGAAGAGGTACCTCTACACCTCTCAAGCTAAGTGCAGCATCCACATCATCCGTAGATAACGTAGTTCTCTTCGAATGATGCATACATTTAATAGCTTCCTACAGTATCATACAAAAAATTATGCAAATTACATGCGCGATAACCTTAAAAAAAAAAAAAAAAAAAAAGGTCAAAACTTCGCCACGCTTATGTTCCAAAAGTAATCTCGAAGATCAAACCATCCATATTTTGTTATTCCAAAAGAAATGTGTGTTTTTGTTTGTATAAACAGACTATGTGTGTAAAAGGAGTTACCTGCATAATCTCTCGAATGCGGTATTCGACATCGACGGCGAGAGCAGGCAAGACATCTGGTGATAAATTGCTTACACCTATACTTTGTGATATCACTTCTATTGTCTCTTTCGGTACTATACTCATCTTTCTACTAGCTCCGGTTACTCTAGGTTAAATCCAGCTGTGAACTCAGAAATTCGGCGATTTCGGTCAGTTTTTCAGGCGAGGAGTAACTGCTAGCACAGCTACGTCTCAGGAACTCTGAAGCGGCGGACGACGGCGGCGATGGAATGGAGAGATTAAAAACCTAAGCTGAGTGTAGAGAGAGAAAATTGTAAGAAAGCGTAAACGCTACAATGCTCAGTCTCGCCGAGGACACTACAGTGACCCGACGGGTCGTTGCAATCGGGTCAAGTGGTACGATAGAGGCTTGGAGCACCAATATTTAAAACCTAGACAAAATTTACAACCTGTATAACTTTCGTTTACATGAGGTAGAGTCAGGTAGGATAATTATGTTCAGTGAAAAATTACATTAATTATATAATAATAAAATTAAATTTTAGCTATATATAATAAATTTTGAACTTCATTTGGATTCTTTGTGCGTTTACTTTCTCTTATTTGAACTCATTTAATGAAAATCCGACATTATATGTGAATAAAGCATAATCATTATTTTCTTTAGTGAATATAGATACCTACAAAATGAAATCTACGACTTAAATAGTACACGTAAACTTGGCTACTTGATGCAAATTGTACTCGTACAACAGTGGGTTGACCCAGATGGGCTGAACCCGCACCAGCCCAAACAATTGTATCATATTTATCGTTAGAAATTTACATATATCTTACTAGTTTAAAAGTTAATTTCTTAAATATACTTTAGTTTGCAATATTACTTATTTTATCTTTATCATATTCTAGTGTGTCCAGATACGGGTTGTGAATTAAAATTAATTTTAACAACAACCAATAAGACGTGTCACGTAATAATTAAATTTATTATTTTTATTTTCAAAGTACACCGTTAAAATTAGGGGCAATTTAGATCCCATACATTGAAGTCAAGGCTAATTTAGAGCCAAAAGGTTAACGATAGGTATATTTGTACCAAATTCGATAATTCAATGGCATTTTAGACTCTTTCATAATTAATATTATATATTTAATAAAATTAGTCATGATCAAAAGAACACAACCACATTCCATATTATACACCTAAAGGGTGCGGAAAAACCAAAATAGATATGAATGGAAGATGCCTCTGGAGCTCCTTGAAAAGGATTAAATTGAATCCTCCTTCATTGGAAAATCATAGTGCACAAATAGGGTAAAAACAAGTATTTTTGGTTATATGTGAACTGTTGAATCCCTTTTGACATAAGAAAATATTGTAGTGGTAAATAGGATGCAAAAGTCGCCTTCGAGTCACAAGTTCAAATCCTACTTGTGATCAGTATTATTTGAATCTCTTTGTATAAATTTCTGGCTTCGTCACTGCAGATATAACTCGGTACTCTATGTACCTAGTTACTCGTATGGATTCTTGAAATTTTTGAGAAGTTCAGGGATGTCATAACCAAGCATGTCATCAACAGCTTGTATCAACTTGGGTTTCAATTTCTCAAACTTGTCAATGTTATAACCACTCAGAATTTCTCTAAAATGTTCAACATCTGGAAAATCCCCAGCTGGTAGATGGTGTTCTTTTTGAATCTGTTTGGAAGAATGATAACATTAAAGACATAGATTAATGTTGCTCGTACTCTCCAAAAATGTTATTGCACCTATGTCAGATCCTTCAAAAATGCACTAGTTTTGGATCCAGACATTTTTGAAGAGTCTGAGCAACGTACTAATAAGTTCATATAGAGTTAATGAATAAGGGATGACATATACCTTTACGAATTCATCAGCCAAGTTATCGATCAGTCTTTTCTGCGTCTTAGATTTGCCCATCATAGCGGGCATCTCCTTTTTCAGGTGACTTATGATATAAGCATGTACCTTTGCAGCTCTAGCACGTTTTACGAATTCATTTATCTGTATGCAACAAAACCTGACTTTCATCCTTTGTTTAATGTAAAATCAGAAGCATAGTTTACAACAATAATTGCGCCTCAGTTCCAAATAAGTTGGGATCAGCTATATAAACCTCACTGACCGCAAGCTCAACTCAAATCGGAAGCATAGTTTATGAGCAAAAAAATATTTTAGGATCACATTCAGAGATTGTGAACTTACACGGCGATCACAAGCCTTTTTGGGTATGTTTTTCAGGTCTGTAAGGAGATCATCTTGCTCCTTCTCGAAAAGTTCTTTCCCCAAAGGCCCTGTGAGATCCTCATTTATAGGACTGTCATTAAATGATCTGTAAAAGCCAAAACATCCACAGAGTTTATGCAAAACGTTGAACTCCAAAAAGAAAAGAATTTTTCGTCTTATTTTCCATATAAAAATGAAACATTTTGGATGACTGACTTCATGATCCTGAAGTCAAATAGACATAACTATGAAATGCACATTGCACTACTAAATTTGGAGACTTTATTGAAGAGTAAATTGATGTTGGGCCTAACCCAATCCCGAGGGGAGGATTGTCCAAGACTATATAATGAGACCAAATGATCCTTAAACCGACTAATGTGGGATACCCCATGGACAATACAAGAAGGGTAGGCCTGACTCTGCTACCATGTAAAGAAACGGATTTTTGACCTAACTCAACTCCAAAAGGTTAGCTCATGAGGGGAAGATTGTCCAAGACGATATAAGGAGACCAAATGACCCTTAAACCGACCGATGTGGGACTCCAACGCTCACATTATCTCCCATCGAAATCAATCATGTTTTAATTGAAAATATAGAGATCATACCCGATGTAGACACGTGATACTTCAGGGGTATTCTGAACTTTCCCTAAAGACCACATCAAAGCTCCATAAACCCTCATAAGCTGCAATGGGGACCAATTAAGAAAACAAAATTTTAGTAGTCTATAAAGAGGTTGTGAACATGAACGAAAAAAAGAAAATAATATGCCTTACTTGTTGGGTATCAACTTTGTCAGCTTTGTTCAATACCACACGAATCTTATCGTCGTGTCCTTGAAGAGATGCAATCACACGTTTGAATTCATCGCTAATATCAAGTTTGTGAGGATCAAATAAAAGCAGAATGAGATCACATTTAGCAGCAAACCAGGATGTCACCCCCGTAAATTCATAGCTCCTCTGTGTTCGTTGCTTTTCCCCTGATAACACTCCGGGTGTATCGACAAATGTGATATTCTCTAACAGCTTTTTCAACATGAAAGGGAAGGAAATCATTCAGTTTCTATATAAAAAAAAATTGTTTTCAGATACAGTACGATTGACAAAGAGTCATACTCACAGGATGAGGCATTTGAGAACATTCAAACTTTGACAAAAACGCCGTTCCAAAAGTTGTCAAACCACTAAATGGCATATCTGCTTGAACAGCAATTGTGTTCCCTGGGATACTTCTTTCATCAGGTCCATTCTGTATAATACACAGTGTAACTTATGAGTCCACGTGAACCCAATATTTTTTTCCCAAATCATGTATACGTACTAAGAAATCCACTAAATATCTATAAATATTTGATGGTGAACTCAATTATAACAGTATATTAACTTGAGGTCCATGTAGGAACGCATAAACTTCAAGTCCTGAATCTGCCTCTGGTTAAAGTGAACGACTGCCAAACAAATGATTTAGTTCTTTTAATTATAGTAAATATAGTAGTCTTGTTATAGAATCATAAAACATCGTCTAAAGTAAACGGCTACTATTTCTGGGACAACTTTTAACAAAAAACTTTGAACTTCAGTACAGTACAAGTTTTCTTCTACTCGGCACCATACCAAGAAAGATAATAAGTGAGTGAACACAGTAGTCAGTACAAATCAGATAAGTACAAGTACCATGATGACAACAAATCTGTCTGTTGTAGGCTCCGGTCCAATATGAGCACCTATGGACATAAAAGAATCACAAAATGTCAACAGATAAATGCACATAAAAGGGCGGCCCGAAGCACTAAGCTCCCGGTATGCACTGGGTCCAAGAAAGAGCCGGACTACAAGGGCCTATTGTATGCGGCCTTACCTTGCATTTCTACAAGAGGCTGTTTTTATGGCTCGAAACCGGAACCTACCAGTTATGCCAAGAATCATTTTTGCTAACCTGGATAGCTAGATCTGAGTAAATGCTTAATGAAGGTTGTTTTGCCAGTGGAGTATTGACCCAAAAGCATCACCATTGGTTTGGCATCAAAATCACTATTTGCCTACCAAACATAGAAGAATTAAGAAGTTAATTCATCTATATGCATCACCGTCATCATGATACCAATAACGGAATTTAAGATATTTTCCTATTTGTTTAATAAGCATAGCTAAACTGAAATGCTACACATACCAATAAAGGAGACACAAAATCACTGTAGTGATATGCAACTTCCAGTGGCTTTAGTTTTTTGGCGTACAATTTCTTCAGTCCATCGATTATTGATGTGACATAGTTTGAAGGGACCTGAAAGGCAAATGAAAAGGACCAAGCATCACTCCAGGAGCAAAACAAAAATACATGTCAATGGAATGCTAAATGATGTGTTCGGGACAGTTTGGGAAAAGGACATTTCCATGCAATAATTTCAACAGATAGCTTATGATATCAAAGCAAAGAACAGTTTTCATTGACAGACGAGGACCACGATAATTTTTCACAAGTTAGCTTCATAGGGAGTACATGCCGTCATATTTAAATTGTAATTATCAAATGAAGTCCCACTTGTACACTGTGAAAGTTATATAGAATATAATTATAGTTTATAAGTTTGTCGATCATCTTAAGACATTGCCTAACAGAAGTTTGTCACGTAGTTTGGAATGAAGATGGTGTAGAAAGGTACTCCTTCTAGAAAAGGATACCGCATATACAGCTAAAATATGAAACCATTGCCTCTAATGCAAAACAAACAGAATCATTTGAACAAAGTTAATCTTCGGAAGTTACAACAGACGAGCATCTGAAAAGTGCATTACTTAAGCAAGAACACGCAATATTTGAGAGTTTATAGGACACAGAGATAAAATGAGAGAAGATTCTTGAGATGGTTTGGCCACATCCTATTTTGAACTGTAGACGCACTTGTCATGTGAAACTAAGGTGATTGAAGGTGTTAAGATAGGACGAGTAAATCTAAAATCACGAGGAAGAAAGTTGTCTCAAAAATCTTAGTCTCTTGAAATTCATGCAGATTAAATGCAAAATCAGCACGATAGAAGAAATAGATTCATATTGGTGGTACCACACTCACCTTCTTTGCAGATTTTGACGATGAAAACCAATTAGCACGGGAAGATAGCGTAAGACTGCCTGCTTCGCAATTCAATTAGTTAGATGCAGAGACTCCATTCACTCCCCCTTCCCAATTTCCCAAGAATGTAAACAAATAAAAATAGAAATCTTATTGTATTTACTGAAGTAACATTACCATTACTGTCAGGTACCCATTTGGCCACGCGCTTCTTCTTCTGTAAAACATTTGAAGTAACAGTTAAGCAATAGATAGTAAAAGAAAAAAATGAATCTAGCTGGCATACTTACAGCGAGAAGTCCGTCCAGACCTTCCATTGTAGGTGGCTGTAAATTCTCGAAGTCAACTGCATTGGATTGAAATTGTTCTAATTATAAGACCAGTATAAGATAACAAATTCTGCTTGCTAAAGAAAGCCAATACATGCCATAACGAACAATCAACAAATTTCAGATTAAAAATTAACCACATTCGCCAGAAGGTGCAATTTTAGCACGCATTGAGGATAAAATAAGAGAAAGTCGTTTGAGACAGTTTTGGTCATATCATGTGTCGACCTACCGATGTACTGGCCTGTAGGTAAACTATGGTGAGTGAAGGCATTGAAGGGGGACTGGTAGACCAAAATCACATGAAAGATCTAAATGCACAAAGGAAGAAAAACATGTTGGGAACTGGCTTTAGTCTATTAGAGAACTTCAAATATTATCATTACTATTAATTACATATTTACATATTTTTCACTTTTTACTTCTATTTGGTACGATATTATCATGAGTTGAGCTTAAATGGAGAAGTGAGGACTCATATAGCCGATCACAACTTATTCGGAACAGAGCTGTAGTTATTTTGTAGTAGCAGTCATGTGACAACTAACATTACTAGTATACTGTTTGGTTATAGTTGAAGCTACATATCTTACCGTCAGCATTTGAGAAATCACTCATCACAGCATGGCCAGCTTGAGCCAAAGAGACCAACTACATAGTGAAATGCAAAGAATGATCTGCAGTGTATAGGGAAGCAAATTAACTATTAAAGGTGAATGAGAGTCCACAGAAAGATCTAATACCTGCATTGCAGTTATAAACTCTTTAAAACCAAGATATCCTTGCCGTTTGGAATCTGCAATTGCCCACACCTTCGGAAAAACATAAAAGTAAAACGATTTGATTAGACATAGGTATTAAATGAATAAAAAGGTACAGTAATAGTGCATCAGCTTCATAGTCGTAACAAAAGGTCATATATAAGTCAAAAACAACTATTAGGCTACACATAATCAAATGATATTTAGCCTGGCGTGCTGTAACAATCTCTCAAATAAATAAAAGGTCAGCCTCAAAACAAACCTAAGAAGAATTTTTCGTGCAAGTCATCTCGAGGCTTTCAAATACATCCAAGCAGTTGATATCCTATTGAAAGATAGAAAACATAGAATCGCGAAATTTAATTTTAGCAGGCAAACGAGAGAAGGACTCATTTCAGAACCAAATATTGCTAGAGGCTATTTCCACGGCTTGAACCCTTGACCTCCTACTCACAGGTTATGGCCTTGGAGATAGCCTCTCATTTCGACAACATAGTTGGTCCAGCGGGAGCTTAGTGCATTGAGTTGTCTTTTTTTTTAGGTGCAAACAGAGGAGAGAAGGGCTACTAATGAGTTACCATACTTAGATGCTGGAAAGTGATAATATGACATGCATTTGGCTAATTATGATCCAACTGGCAAAGAAACTCTGTTAAGAGGAGGACAAAAGCCTATGGGTTGGGGATTAGCATATCACATAAACGAAAAGCAGTTACGTTCCAAGATTGTTGTCAGCATATCAGTTACGGGAACGAAGCTATTGCCTCAATACAATGAACAGTACACTAGTTCAACAACAGACTATACAACATGAAGACCAACTAGTTAAGGTCATAAAAATGATTCAAGATGGAAAATTATTGAACAACCAATAATCATTTAGAACACATTAAAAATAACCTAAATGATATCTTGAGGAAGCTGCGGAGCCAGAATTTTGGTTACCACCCTAATACGGAGTTATAGAAGTGCAACGATTAATAGTACTAAAAATATTACAAAGAAACACCAAAGAAGTGAAGGGCTTGTTTGAAAAGAATTATGCACAGAAAGAAGAACCTGCTTGAGATCTTCACGAGGCAAGTTTGACATTGCAAGGAAACTGGTGGCATCCTTTCCTATGAGACGTCCATCTCCATCTGTGATACCATTAAATTCAACAAATGTTAAACTTGAAGCATTTAAAACTCATAATTTAAAATACACTGTGTTTCAATTCTAAAAAACTCTTGAAAGTTGAACCATTTAAATTTAAATTATGGATTCAAATCCACAATCACATATTTAAATAAGAAGAATGATGAATCACACGTGCGAGAGAGAGAGAGAACAAACCCGAATCAGCAGAACTAAACCATTCTTGATAAATCTTCTCGTTCCTTTTGGAGCAACGATTGATGGGATAAGTATCAAACTCCATTCTTCACTGAAGCCAAGTTGATTGTTATGCTTTTGAACAAGCTAGCACATTTTCATTTTTTTAAGGGAAGATCCAACTTAGTTTGTCCTACCATTGCTGAAAATTACATAATTAAGTTTTTTTTTTTAAAAATGCATCATGGATCACATAGTTAAGAGAATGAGTTTAACTAATATATCGAAGATGATAAAAAGAAATGCCTACATTATTTGGTTATATTACAATGGATATATGTTTGCGACTTGATAGCTAGTGTAAAAGTTTTTTACGTTATCGAGGTGTATAAGTTAAACTCTAATCGAATATGGTATAACAGCAAGCAAAAGTCTTTTGTTAAAGTCACATCATTGTCCATAAAAAGAAAATCCATGTATCCATGAAACAAACTATGCAAATACACTATCAGGACAAAAAAATGTAAACTATAAAAAACATACTTTTTCTAAAGAATATCAAAATCAAATGTGATTAAGTAGATAAATAATGAATTTAAGTAATAGAATGACAATTCAATATTAGATCAATAGAAGGTGTTAGTTGAATAGCTTTTCTGAAATGTAGATTGAAGGGTATAAAAATAATTTACTCTTTTGGAAAACACGTTTGGCCATAAAATTCTGAACTTCAACTTGAAGTTGAATTCCAGAATTTTCTAGACTTTAAAAAACAACAAAAAGGTGTTTCCACCTTTTTCCTCCAAATTACTTACAAAAAGTCAAAAACAACTCTAATTTGTATTCATGGTCAAACCAATTTTCAAATATCATTTTTCACTTTGAAAACAAAAACTTTTTTTTTTTCAAATTTCACAATGAATCAAATAAAGTAAAAAATTATTCTTGGAAAAAGTGAATAATTTTCACGGTCAAGCGCCCCCTGGTATATTTGTAAGAAAAAATGTAAACAACAATGTATTCAGATTTTTTGATGTTTTGTTTTCATGAATCATAGAAAAACATGGAGAGAAAAATTGGTAAGGATGAAATCATGCATGGATGCATGGAATGAATGAAATCTTTTCATTCTTAACACTACAAAATTCGAGCCCCAGAAATGAAAAAAAAAATCCTAGTAAAAGGCTTTCCTCATGAATGGGCCGGGCCTAACATAGCTCGAATCTAAATTAATTGAGTCAGTGAATTTTGAAAATCAGATGATTAAATAAAAAAATAAATCATCAATACTTACAAAGATGAAGCCTTTAGGGTTTCAATATGAAAGAATTGGGTTGAACTGGCTTATATATATATATTTGTTCTTGCTCTCTAATTTCTCTATGCTTTCTCCTCTTGTATATTTTGTTTTTTGTATCAAATTAATAAGAGGAAAAAGACAGAGTTTATGATGAAAATATGAAGAAATTTTTTTTTAAAATGAGAGAAATCAAATCTGCATGGCTGATCTTACTGGAAGAGATGAAGGCACAAGGAGAAAATAAAGGAGGAAAGAAAAAAAAAAAAACAAAATGAGATAAATTGAGGCCTACCTTAAAATAAAATAAAAATTAAGAAAAGGTAAAAAGATATGGAAAAAAAATAGTTTATGTTTTGTAAAAATTGTATAAATTTTGGGATTAATGATATATATTAATTACTTAAACGAAAGTAAATGTGATAAACTTTGGGATATTTGCATATAAGTTATGTCAATGCTATCTTAATTTTATTTAATTTCAATGTTAACCTATTTGATATGCACTTTGACGTTCAAATAATTTGAATTTAGTATATATAAGACATATTGAAAAGTCCGAAACTTTTTAATTCCTAAAAATCGAACTCGAGACTGCCTTCATCTTCTTTTTTTCATGTTGTCATCATGTGTCCTATTGGAAATATGTCATGGGGTAGAAGTAAATTAAATCATATTAATATACACAAAAACCAGAAGTAACATGACATAACCACATATTTCCTCAAATAACTCCATTGAAGGTGGCATCAGAACTACAATCCATCTTGATAAGTTATTTAATTTGGAAATTAAAAAAAAATGATATCATAAATGATATAAAAGTTGAACAATCAATTAAATAGCTCGCTATGCACACTCGCCTTTTAAGAAGGGGACGGACCTATGATCAGAACAACACAACAAAATGATTAAATGAAGAAGAATGAATCGGAGCCCTGAGGCTAGCACCAGGAGAAAATGGATTGACAAACTTGTAAATTGTGTTTGGTAAACTTCCTCCATCTTTCTCATTTTTTGATATCTTTAAACTCCAACGATTGGACAAGTCAAAAAGTCCGTTTTTGACTGACTATGTTGTTAGGACTCTTCAAAAATATCGTCAGGTGTGTGTCAAATCCGAGCAACATAACATGTAGCTAATAATAATTCAAGAAATGCCAATAGTTTTCCCAAGCAACCAGAGAACTAGTGATAATTCTATCCCAAATATGGTGTGAATAGAACTTCTATCCAGCATGAATCCATAAATTGTTACTCCTGCTCTATTGTTCTCAAAATATGTCACTGCAAACAGATTTGTCAAAATAAAGTATCATTAGAATAATCCTAGCTAAGTAGCTATGCAGTATTACAAACTTAATACTAAAAGATCAGTACGGTGCACTAAGCTCCCACTATGTGTGGAGTCGGATAAAGGGCCGGACCACAAGGTTCTATTGTAGACAGTCTTACTCTGCATTTCTGCCAAAGCATGTTTTACACCTTGAACCCGTGACCTCCTGGTCACATGGCAACAACTTTACCATTTACGCCAAAACTTTATTGTAATAGGATAAAATTTAACTGTGTGAAGATTTTAACACAGTTGTTATGGATAGTTGTCTACTGTTGTAGGTAATTTTAACTTGACGGAGAAAAAATATTATATATTGTCAGCATGGGGGTAGTTAGAGGGCACAAGGGGTAAAAGATCAAATTATTTTTTACAATCCTCTTGGATTCACTGTGTGTTTACTTCTTTATATTTTGAATCTCATAGTAAATATTCTAGCTCCACTACTGATTGTAAGTGCATATAAGTTAAACTCGCAGTAATATTAGTGCTCATTTCTCAAGGGAAGGAATAAGGAAAACAGTTTTAACCAGCATATCATACCTAATGCCTGTCTTTTCTGGAATGAAATTGTGCTATAGGCATATGCATGGATGAATTTCGTATTGTCTAACTCGTCTTCTTCATCTCCGACATCATCAGCATCAGATGATCCTTCAGAACATACAGGAAAGACGTGGTCAGAGGTCGCTCGAGTAATTGGTGTATCAGCCTCAGTCGAATCAAATGAATCTATCGTTGCACATACGTGCCACTTGGCTGCTAGGCACGTAACGGATTGAGCCTTGTGTGTAATTCTGGTTGCACTTCGCAACAGTATCATCAGCCCGGCGAGAAGGCTGACAGAGCAGAGCTGCATATTAAGACGACAACATTTAATCACGAGTAACAGCAACAAAATGACTATTCAGGATAAGGATCGGCTGGATGAACTAGGGGTCAATCATCTCGGATAAGAATCATAATAGGTACTCCATTGGTTTCATGTCATATGACGGTGTTTGAATGAGCACGAATTTTAAGAAGGAATGAAAGACTGACCGATTTTAACCACAAATTTGGCTACCTGAACTTTCACTTTGTTTGTAATGGTTCAATTCACCACCTTGTAATCTCCTTCCCCTGCCCCCATTTGTAAAAAATCAAATAAGAATGCTTATTAGACATACCGCGAGTTCACCACTTTCGTAGATATGAAGATCTGCAGTTGAGCGTGTGGTCATGAGAAGGGACGCGAATTGGCTTGCTGTAACGAACATCAATGCCCACAAGATGAATGACCGGTACCTATGGCTAATGATCCTCAAGTGCCTCCTAATTCTCAGGTGCTCTCTCAACACCGATTCAACATCAGAATCCACGTGAAACACCTGAGCAAAATCTTGTAGTCGGAGAATTTGAAGGTAACATATCAACCGGAAAAGTATGCAGACTAGGAAGAACACGACTGTCCTGTAAAGCCAAGAACTCAGCTCTAGAATGCACGCGACAGTGTCACTCACAATGACGTTGCCCAAGAAGGGGATTCGTGTACCACCCGAACTGTACCACCAAATCTTGTACGCGCATTCAACAGCAAAACATGGCAGGACAAATATGAATAAGATCTTTAGTGAACTCTGCATATTGAGAAGAAGTTATTATTACATCAAAGTTGATCAATACTCCATTTTTTCAACTTATATAAACAGTACTCTTTCTATTTCGAAATAATCTGAATGCAATTCCACTAATAACATTTTCAGTTGTATTCATCAAGACTTTCAAGAATTCATTTAACTATTTCAAAATTTTAATCTTTCATTTGATGTTTTCTCGATTATTTTTTTCCCATCAATATAAAAGTCAAATCAAAGTCTTAAGCTATGTGCATAGTCCTTAGGATGAAATTCTTACGATCTTTACGAGATTATCAAGTACCCCTCCGTCCCAATCTATATGACATTATTTGACTTGATACGATATTTAAGAAACTTGTGGCCTAAAATAAACCTTAGATATTAGTAAGGTTATAAATCATTTCATTAAGGGTTAAAAAAGGGAATTTGAAAGTTGAATTGTTTCTAATTATTGAAATGTGACATTCTTTTCAGGACGACCTTAAAAAGAAAGGTGACACATAAATTGGGACAAAAGAAGTCTATGTTGCTCGGACTCTCCAAAAATGACACCGCACTCCTATTGGATATTTAAAGAAGGATCCAATACACACCCATCGGCATTTTTGAAGAGTTTGAACAACTCAAGAGGGAGTTATAAATATCACGAGATTTACGTCTAATAACCTAACAAGTGAGTTAATAATACAAATATATATTCACAGTGCATAAAACTTAAACTCGGAAAGAAAAAAAGAAGGCTTACATTGAGCTGTTCAGTGTAGCCTCTTCTAACTGTTTCACTCTCATCACAAAGCTTATCAAGGAACAAAAACCTTCTCAGCCCATATTTCTTAACAAACTGAGAAAGACAAACAAATGACAAAGCAGCAACACTGCTAAGTGATAGCTGCACAACGTTGTCATATGGACGACTGTGTGCAGCATCACTATCGTCCCTTGCCAGAAGAAAATGCGAAAGGCAAGGGACGATTACAGCTAACAGTATGAAAACAAACCAAGAGAGACAAGCGGAAAACGCGTTGGATTGATCCACACACATCCATTTCAACCATGTTCTGAAACTTCGTAATTCGTCGTAGGCATTTGATACTGTTCTTTCAATTCCCTTGTTTTTGTTAAGTAAACTTTCCTTCTTGATGTCACACATTTTGTACAAGAAGTTTTGTGTATCTCAGTTTTTTTTTTTTGCCTGAAGAAAATTGAACTGTGTTTCAGACAAGTTTATAGTAAATGAGATAAATGGCGGAGCTAGAAATTCATACGAGAAATTTACAAAGTATATAAGAGGATCATACCTGTTTAAATTATACCTGGACAGAGTTAATGGTACCTGTAATAATGAGAAGTACCAAATTATGAAGTTATGAATATCTATAATAATTTCAAGTTAATATACATTAATAATAACAATTGAGTTTATCCTAAAATATATAGCCCGAAAAATGCAAAAAGTGCATTTTGACCGATAGAGTTATTTAGTATTTATGTTTATGAAGGTAACAAGTATTTCATAAAATGACTTGGTAGATATCAAGCCTGAATGAGCTTATAGCCTATATTTTATAAGCATAACCCGTAACAAGTTAGGAATTCTAAATTATGACCTTTGTTTTTTATTATTTTGACTTATAAATAAGTGTTTAAAAAGATTTTTCATTTTATTCAAATACTATAAAAGTGTTTAAAAATTCTTTTGATTTAAAATAACTTAATTCAAACAAGTTCATAGTTACCTGATATATATGGTGAGGGAAGATAATAAATATCTCACAAAATTAATCGTAATGCGCATAATTCAAAGGCTATGATTATTACAAAAAGAAATAGAATGTCATACCTGAGATTTGAGTATGTAATCTAAAGCAATTTTTGAATTCCTTTGTGCTGCACTAGAATTTGTGCTTCAATAGTTTATATACTTTTTTATATTTATATAATATAATTTTTCGTCGAAGATATGTTTGATAATTTTGGTGATGGAGATTGGGAAGAAAGGGAAGTGCAGGATGGCAGAAAAAGTAGATGATTGCTTTATGTGAGGAGAAGAAAGGAATAAATTTTTTAAAAGCAAAAAGAAGAAGAAAAAGGCAATGGAAACTTATAGAGAAGACAGTGAGTGTAGTATCCTTTTATAATGGAAAGTTAATATTATGCATAATGGTTCTGGATTCTTCCACTCAATGAGATTTTTACTTCTTAAATTAGTTTGGAATATATATTATACATATAATAATAATACTATTAACAAGTTTAGTTATATAGTTTTTCAACTAGTGTATACGTTCACTTTGTTAAAAGTAAAAGAATAATCATTTTGGGTTTAGTAAATTATGTATTAAGGTAGCAAATCGATATATTAGATTAAATTTGAACCAGTTAAAATATGTCTAAAATTTATCTAAGTCAGAATGAATCGTTACGCATATTTATATCACATAGAAAGTATTGGTTCAGATAATTAACTCGATGTTACAGTATTGCATCTGTCTCTTTGATTGCTCATTTTCGACTTTTGTCTATACTAAATAGCTACTATCATGAAGTTTTAAACTCCACAAGTGAAACTCTATAGTGTTTGATTCCAATGGCACAAAATGATGGGGTGATTGGAGTGAAAGAGAGGATTCTCTCCATGACTTGCTCGTAAAAGTTTATTTGCATCGGATGCTTATATTAAATCAATATGCATATATCATGTGTATGAATACATAATTCATTTACTTAATCATGATTAATTAACATGTATTATTATTTCATTAAACTACTTAATCATAATAAATTGCATTGATTTAGTGTAAACAAGTAAGTTTTTACCTTGACAAAGGAATCTTAGGCAAGTCCCCGTGTCAACATATACTAGCTAACTAAGTTGTACCCAAAAAAACAAATATAGTATAAACTAGCTAACCAAGGTTTTACTATAGCCAACATTTAGTTGTGGTGCAGTTATGAGACTATTTCACTCTTAATCAAAGGTTTCGCGTTCGAGCCTCGGATATGAAGAAAATCCTAATTGGAGCGCTATTCCCTATATGGGTCCTGCAGTGCACGATCCAAATTTAATCAAGGCTCCAATACACCGGGTGAGGAAAAAAAAGGTTGTAAATATAATACTTAGTTAAACTTGATTTGTTTGTTAGTTAGTTGTCTTGTCTTATAATATTAATATGAAGGCAATAAAAGAGACTTTTCCCAAATCAGAGTGTTTAATAAGGTGACAAAATGAGATCAAATGCAGATCATCAACAACAGGTGTATTAATTTTATAGAGCAAACATGCGATTATGCACATTGCCAACCTGCCCATTAGTTTCACCACATGTGGTGTCTACCTTTTCTCCTCAAAAAAATGTTATTGGAATATAAGGATGTGACCTAAAAATCTTAAAATTTTAATTAAAATAAAAAAATAGTACAGTAACTTTTATTTTTATTTTTACCAAGTCTTCGTAAACTTGATATCTATACTAGCAGAGACAGATTCAAAATTTAAAAATAATAAAGTATCACTAAAAGACATTTAGGGATTATTTGGTAAGATGCATCAAAAAAATAATTTACTCCTTCTGCACCATTTTATATGATTTACTTACCTTTTTAGTCGGTCCAAAAAAGTGATATATTTTTACAATTAGTAATAATTTAACTTTAAAATGTTCATGTTACCTTTGGTGAAATGATTTCTAACCACACAAATATCTAGGACTAATTTTAGACCACATATTTCAAGTCTTTCTTTTTTTCTTACCCTCCATGTCAAGTCAAACTAACTCATATAAATTGAAACGCGTGAAGTATATATTAGTTGTGTACTATATGAAAAAATCACGGTATTAGCAATTTAAGGAGTTTAAATGCATGCATTAGCATACTTAAAGACACAGTTTGCCCTTATATCCTTTCTACTGTATTTGTGGAGGATATTTTTGTAAATAATTTTATTTTATTTTTAGAAATTATGCCACATATTCTTATTGATCCACTAAACCAATCACTGTATAAGAAATAATCTCAGCATTGCTTATACCAACAATATTAATACATCATATCAAACGAACCTTAAAATACGGTTAGAGTTAGTAATCAAATTCAAATCATCTAACACAAGCAGTACTCAAGAAAGAGACTCGACTAAAGCCCCCATATATAAATTTGAAATTATCGAGGTACGGTGACATCTCTACCTTCCAAGTAGGTTAATTTTTGTATACTGATGAGAGGTAACAAAACATCCGATCTTATTTCTGGATTGAGTAGAAAAGGGATATATGAAGTTCGTTCTCTTTCTCTGTGCATCTCTGTGATGGGTAAATCTCCATAAAAAAAAGAGTTTAAGTTTTGTGCACGGTCAGTGTATAAGATTTTCTAGACCATCGGGTTATTTTTAAGATAAACATGGTAACTTAATTAAGTAATAAATATATTTTTTTTTGAATATAATTATAATTACGGTAAAATATAGTAAAGGAAAGTTAAGTCATCTTTCTTCTCTAACCAAAATTAATTCATAGTTATCTTCATAATTAATCAAGTTTATTTGTTTTTCTACGTCTGTTTTTTTTCATCAGAATTAATTTTTTAATTTCTTAATTGTCTTTGTTTTTTCTTTTTTAATTTTGATAAAGTCATGATCCGTAAACAAAAAAAGAAGCATTAAAAAAAAATTGCAATTTGCAATTTATTATTCTGATCTACAATATTAAGATATCTCAAATATCCTGAAGATCAAAAGGGTTGATAACAATATAATCTAGATACAAATATAATTATTATCCCTGAGAAAATTCACAAAAACCTTGAAAACGTGATTTAACTGAAAATAATTGAACGAGTAATACAACAAAAGAAGACGCAAAAACTAAAAAATAGAACAAGAAGATAAAGAGATAGAACCAAATAAAATCAGATGTAGAAAAGCAAATAAACTTGATTAATTAAGAAGATAACTATGAATTAATTTTGGTTAGAGAAGAAAGAGGACTTTATTTTATTTTATTATATTTTATCATAATTATAATTATATTCAAAAAGATATTTTATTAATTACTTAATTAAGTTATCATGTTTATCTTAAAAATAACCATATGGTGTAGAAAATCTTATATACTGACAGTGCACAAAACTTAAACTCTAAAAAAAAGGGATCGATAAGTGCTTAAGTTGGTTTAAATCTTACACAAACTTCGGAAGAGTCTGGCTGGGTGAATAACAACTTTTAATTTTTATAAATACAAGTTCAACTTGAAACCAACTTAGACCAATCACATGTCATCATTTTCTTGCAATAATGTTGATTTGTTTGACAAAGTATATGGTGATCCATCAGTATTTGTAAGCATTTTGTTACAAATTACCACACAATTTGTACTAAAATCTTGGTGATTCGCCAGGTGTTATGACACCCATCAATTAGAAATTTTTGGTGATCCCTCACAACAATTTATTCCAAATTTACAACACAATTTGTATCAAATCTTTGGTAAAACTTCAAACTTTGTGAAGGTTATTTTTTCACAACTATTTAAATGGAATTGGAAATTAAATAACAACACAATGATTCTATTTGTATAAATCTTCCCGAGCAACACATCACCAGTGATGGGTTGGGGTGGAATGATTTTAGAATCCTCCACCCTAAACCAAAAGTCTCGGGTTCGAACCCCTGTACATGGAAAAAATCTTGTGTTGGGAGTGCCACCCCCAAATATGGATGCACCAATCCAAATTTAATCAGGCTCCAATACGGATATAGGACCAGCATTTCTCATAAGCTCCTACCAAACCAGCATTTTATGCCAATATGACAGTTAAATGTCATGAGCAGAGACTTGACATAACTGCAACAAAGTAAACTGTACAGAAGTATCATATCAATCACGTATAGAAACTAATCTTAAATTCCCTATTCAAGACCACTCAAATTTCCATCGATAATGTCTTGCATAACAACTAAATCTCATTTTGTTACTGTTTAGTGCCCTCGTTTTGTTCAAGACATAGCTCATAGATCAGCTAGTTGCTGGTTTTCCCTAAATGCATAGATACCTTCACTGAAGTGCAGTCTAAGTGACGATATCTATAACATATTCATAAATATACCTCAAGACAGTAGCCAAGCCGGGATTTTCACTAAGGGGTGTGAAATATGAAGAAGTAAACACATAAGAAGCCAAAAAA